TTTTTTTGTTGTCCACCTTCAGTACAAACAACGCCAGTTTGGCAGAATGAACAAAAGATGTTTGAACTAAATCTAGACSACAATGCAATGCAAGCTGCTWTCTCAGAAAWGGYCTATTGATAAAACTTTTAAGAAYAATGGAAGGGCTRCATGATTGGACCAATCATATACTAGAGACCAGGCCTTATGTGCCGATCACTGGCATCCATAATGAAACTGACTTTAAATCAAACAAAAAGAAAAGTAATGATGGAAATCAAAGAAAAAAAAACTAATTATTAACAAGATTGTTTATAGAGTCCTCTATTTTTGAATTAATTCTTATGCTGTACATCCAACACTTCTTGTCGATCTTTAAGCTGGCATTGCAATCATCTGAAATTGTGAAAATATCTCGCCTCCAAATAAAATTAGTTTTGATTTGTACTTTGTGGCAAAATTAATCTGATGTAAAACATAGTTGTGATGGAACCACCAAGTTTCACAGGTGTCTACTCAATGCCATTCCAATATCATTTTGTCCATATCTCAATGTTATAATATCCTTGGAATGGCTGATGGTGGGCTGTAGACCATTACCAGACCATCAAATGAACAGTCGGCAAGCTGAAAAAGGATGAAATGAAATGAATGGATCACTAAAAGGAATGGATGAATGAGTAGAAAAATGGGCAGATGAAAGAGGGTGAAATGATGAGTAAATATTACTACAGTAGATTAAGGGACTGCGCAATATTTATCAGGAGGGGGGGTTGACAATCCAGGGGGGGCAATGTCTAACATTAACTAGAACTTTCATTGGAAACTGAAAACTCAACGGTGTCAGAGTCTGTGCTTTTTGGCCAAAATACTTATAATGAAGTTGAAAACTTCTCAAGAAAAGCCTGCCACAATTTGCAACAACTTTTATTTCAGGGGTATGGGCAGAGAGTAATTTATTTCATTTGCGAAAGGGAGTAGTAATTAACTTTTTTGACTTTTTGGCTCATTTCTCAGCCTCCCTTCCTGATAAATATTGCTCAGTCCCTAAGTCCAGGATTAATGCATAGTTCTCACCTGTCCTTCTTGATGAAGATTGAAGTCTAGRCCTGTAACAAACTCTGAGTGATGTTCTATAGTCTGAAGTGGGGATGTRTCTCTAAGGTCCCATGTCCGCACAGAGAAGTCATACGAACATGATGCAAGTATGTTGCCATGGTGAGGAGAGCACTAGGAAACAAATATCGGAATCAATATCTAATTTTATTTGAGTATAAGGATTTAAAGGGACACTGTCAATGGATGACATGCGCAAGTAAACTTGAAAACACTAGGCTAGTGTTTTCAAGTTTATGACTCCAAGTTGGCGCGACATAAATCAGATCGTAAAATGTAAACAGATCTAGAATATTCCAAAGTGTGTCAAAAGCACCACAAAATGATTTACCTTGAAGGTTATACTTTCAAAGTCCATTAGAGGTGAGACAGTGTCCCTTTAAAAGCGTGCAAAACACAGCAGTATATGGCCAGTACATAAACTACATGWAATATCTTATATGTAACCATACCTTTAGTCTTCGGACAGCATACTGATGACTTTTAAAGCTAAACACTGGTGATTCTGTATTRCGAATGTCCCATCCTCTATTCAAAAGAAACCAAATTCTACTTAATTTGTTGCAATCTCCTAGTTTACTGTTAAGGGGTCAATGTCTCACCTTATAAACGTGTCCACTGATCCAGAAATAACAAGATTCTAAAACAATAATAATAATAATAATAAAGTGATTAGATAATTATTAGACAATAATAATAATTTATGATATATTTAGTAAAATATCAGCAATGTTGAATGTCCTCAATCAATATTTTCATTTATCTACCTAATATAACRGATATCAACCATACCTGATCGTATTTGGCCCAATCACAAGTCAATACCTCACCATCGTGAGCTCTAATCACGTGCTGCGGTCTGTCAGGGCAACTGATGTCCCATATGCCAAGGGTGTGGTCACCAGATGCCGAAGCAAATGTTCGCGGTATGTGGGGAGACCATAACGCAGAGTAAATGACACCTTGATGACCAGAAAAGTTGGACACTAATGGACACTCTAATCTTTGTGGATCCCACTACAGAATGAAATCAATAAAARACAAAATAGTTGGCAATGCACAGTACAACATTTTTAAAAACAGCTCTTGATAGAAGATGGAGTTATAGCATTTTCTTCTGACTATTTGWGGCTGGTCACAGACTCTAAGCWAATTACAATCAAAATRACATCATAAAAGAACTAGAATATAACATTGGTATTGATTGGTTGAAATGTGTCCGTGATTCAAAACCTTTSTCTAAACAAGACTCTAAGCAAATWACAATCAAMATAACATCATAAAAGAACTAGAATATAACATTGGTATTGATTGGTTGAAATGTGTCCGTGATTCAAAACCTTTGTCTAAACAAGACTCTAAGCAAATAACAATCAACATAACATCATAAAAGAACTAGAATATAACATTGGTATTGATTGGTTGAAATGTGTCCGTGATTCAAAACCTTTCTCTAAATAAGACTCTAAGCAAATTACAATCAAAATAACATCATAAAAGAACTATAATCGTATGAGGAAGTGGCTGATCCCATTAAGGAGTGCTCAATACACATAAAGTGTAGAGCTAGTTATATATATGATATCAAAGAGGCAAGATTTTGCTGTAACTCCGAGTTTTGTGCTACGCACTCATAAGACAGTATAATATAACTATAATATAACATTTGAATTGATTGTCTGGTTGAAATGCATGTGTTTGTAATTCACAATCTTTTCTCATGTTCTTCCAACAATCCTGTGGGTTTCCAACAGAGAATGGAAACAGGCAAAATATCTTTCAAAATTAGTTGTTTTGTTTACTCACCAATTTAATGGTATTGTCCCATGATGCACTGAGAAATGTGTCACCATCTCTGCCTGGACACCACTCCACACCATACACCTATAATATATTGAATAAATTAGTAGCATCAAAACTTAATTCGTGAAACTTTAACACTAAAAAAATAGTAGTAAATTTAGTAGTAATAAGCAGAGTGTAATCACACTTAAACCGATGCATCTGCACAAAATCTAAGTAGTACTAATTTGTACTAAAAGTGGACCTGAAGCAAGACGGTATTGAATGCTTCATTTGTATCAATTTAATTTAATTTGTGTACCGCATGCACAATTTACTAAATACAACTAAATAGCACTATATAGTTTGTACAGTTGCACAGTTTAAGTGTGATCACTCTACATCAACATTACTTGATATAATGACAGTTTAATTAATATTTTTACACCAATCCTACAATTTTGAATKTAATTTTATTGTACCTCAGCTGTGTGGCCTTTGAAAACCTTTATTGGCTGAAAAAGATAAGTAATTAGCACTAAAGAACAAAAAGCCATTGCTGTTTTTGAATGTATGTATTATTTATTCAGTAAAGAAATTAAGAAATGTCAATTGTTAAGTACCTCAGGATTATTGACATTCCACAGCTGCAAGGAACCATCTCCACTTGCTGATACAATAACATCTTGATTATGCTCACTCCATGCGCAATCAAACAATCCATCATTCCACTCTAGTCTAAAAGAAAAAAATAATAAAAAATTAAAGAAAGAAAAAAAAGAATGGGATAAAGAAATGGGGAAAAAAGAAAAGAATAAACGAGAAAAATATCGATGCATAATTATTATTAAAAATATCTATCTATCTTTTTTTGGAGAAAAAATTTATTAAGGTAGCTCCACACCATGGGCAAGGATGGTCATGCTCGAAATGACATGTATGCATTTACCGAACTTTACAAATGATATCGAACAAAAGGAACATATGCAGACACTTACTGTCTAACTAATGCAATTCCTCTGGGCGTAACGTCGAGGATATACAACGAGCCACGGCCTAAAAACATACACCAAGGGAATTTTCATATTATAAGTAGCTTAATGTTGTATTGAGCATAATAATATTGATCGATTTTATTAACATTATTAAGCTTTATCACACGTAATATGAACGCTAAAAGTCTTGTTATTTACTAACCAGCTATTCCGTAATGCTGCGACGACGCACATGCAAGTCTGTGGCTCAAATAYGGTGAGAATTTCACAGCATAACCGTGGCGATTACGGGTGCGAAAGACCAGGGCCATGACCCTGATGACATAAGACACCAGCGTTTGCGAAATACCAACTGTAACGTTGGCTAAAAACTACCAAGTTACTCGATCACAAAAATATCCCGTCAATTCAACTTCCACCGATGTAAGACCCTCGCATTGCATATATGCRTATGATAACTGCAGTAAATCCTATCGAAATTTCAAAAATAAACTTTTCCACACGGGGGTCGCCATTTTGTTTACAAACATTGAGCCTGTARTAACATTGACTAGCGGATTCCAACTTGTTCCCAGTCTTTCACAGTTGGGGTCATCCAAGATGGCGGCTGTGATTGCGCCAATTTGTTGTTTCCAAAGAATCGTTCTTTACGAGACGAAAGCTGTATGTATAACGTTTTGATATGTTTGAAGTTCTTCATTGCAGTKTTTTCATCTCTGTCTGCGGTTGTCTTTCAGAGATTTTACTTGGTTGGCTCAAACAATGCCGAAACCAGATTTCGTGTTTTGAAGATTGACAGGACGGAACCGAAAGACCTTGTGCTTTCCGATGACAAGGTATTATGGGACTTCCACCCAAAATATTATGGATTAATACCCAAATAATAGTTCCATGTTTCTAATAGCGATAGTTTGCATGAGTTCAACGTATTGTTCAATCATCTCCAGCTCTCAAGATAAATTATTCGGTTTTCGAAAATGAAATGTGACGTAAGCTTATTCCGTCATTTTGCAAGTCCATTATTACATGGATAGAGTCTATGCGCATAGTTTTGTTCTTATGAAAACTTAAGGTAGACATWTATGTTATAAATGATACTTCGCATTATTTACAACCAGGGTTGGAAGTAGGAGATATGGGGGCTAGTAACCCATATGATGTGTCTGTCAGCACCTTGAACATTGGAATCAAAGCATATTCATCTGGGAAAGATGAAGCCCCATTCCATTCAGCTGCAAGGGATATTTTCAAGAACTGCCAAAATCTGCAGTTCAAATTCCTCAGTTTCATGTTACGTCATCGCTGCCATGTTGGATGCCGATAACAAAGCATTCTTCATTAGTTTCGCTTGTTCAGTTATCCAACAAAACTTCTTTAATTCTCGAGGGATTCTTGGTCATGTGGTTGAAACGCTATAATATCTATTTTTTAGTCCCATTAGCCTAGTATGTCACTTGCAAAAAAATGAGGTTTTGTCTAACAATTAATTTGCACAAAAACAAAAGTATAAGTATCTGGGCGGGGTTGTTCAAAGCCCGATTAGTCAATCCAGGGTTAACTCTATAGGTTTTTTTAAGATTTAACCCTGGATTAGTGCTAATCAAGCTTTGAACAACCCTGTCCTAGAGTTCAAATCTCTATATTGCGAGTGTGACACCCACCTCCAATGTCSTTGCTATGTCACTAGGCAATTCCATGACAAGTGGTTCATGGATGTCAAAATCATTTGCTACACTTTATTATGAACAAATGTATATACTGTATACCATCAAAGAGCTATGTCTAGAAAGTATTCTGTTATTACATTAAAAGTTGCAAAAAACTTTTTTTGTGTTTTCATTGTTAGGTTGAATATAACAGACAGGAAATCAAACAATTACTCACGACAATTAATGCTGGCAACATTATAAARACCAATAAACCATATGAAACCAACAGCAAAGGGCTTCATAGAAGTATTGCTGCATTTGGAATTCTAGGTAAATCGAATTATCAGACTTATATCAATCTATAAGAAATATTATTATTATTATTGTTATACACCTACTTGCRAAATCGTTGCCATATAGAAAATAGGTCATTTGTATTTAGTAAAAAGGAATATATTAAAAAGCCAATTTATTTATTTTTTTAATTTATTCCTTTTTACTAAATTCTAATGTTCTATTTTCAATGACAACGTTTCTGCAAGTAGGTGACTATATCAAAGAACATAAAACAATAACTAACAATGTTCAAAATATCATAAACTTTGCTTGAATCTTTGTTTTCTTCAATCTATAACTATATGTAGCTAAAAGATGTTTTTACCAATCAAACTTGAGCTTCATTGGACATTGTGTCCAACTACCAAACCCCACTGAGTTTGGCACTAATTTCTGAATATTCTTTCATGTAATAATTTGACTGTTTTTCACAGGATTTGTCAGATTCTTAGAGGGATATTACATCATTCTTATTACAGAGAGAAGAAAGTAAGTATTACTGGTTAATTTCATGTAGTGTAAATAGCATTATCCATCAGATTAAATCCTTATCCATCAGGTAAAATCCATACAAATTCAAATGGGTAGCTTTATTTGGTGGATGACTTGATTTATCCTTCATACATTTTTTTTATTTCATTGATAATCCTGGACAATCCATCTTTTATTGCTAACATTTCTTTCTCCAGGCAAGCTCAGATAGGAGGTCACACAATATACAAAATTGAAGACACTCGTATGATATCAATACCAAATGAGGCTATAGTACCCAAGATACAGCATCCAGATGAATCCAGGTGACATGAGACAACTCAATTTCTTTATCATGCAACATCCTAGCTGCAACTTTAAAAAATACTACTAAACTTGTTTTTTTTTCATTCTTGTCTTCCTTCAGATATGTAAAGATCTTTCAAAATGTTGATCTTTCAAGTAATTTCTATTACAGGTATGTTTCAGCTGTACTAAACAGTAATGCAGTACCAATTGAAACCTGCTTTTTGATTGCTCCTTAAGTACAGTACCACTATTGTTAGGTTAGGTTTTGTTATATTGTTGGAAGACTTATCTATTGTTTGTCCATTGTTTTCTCAACCTATCATGAGACCTGTTCCGATCGGTGCTACCTGGCTCGTACTAAAGMCTGGTTTCCATATAGAAAATATCCTTATTCCAGACTTCCTGTAACTGTCTGGTTTCCATTGATTGCTACAGTTACTGGAATCATCATGAACAATCAAACATTCTGATTGCCAGGATTGCTGGAAAGATTTTCTGTACTATCACTTGGATGGTTGAACCACCTTTTTGGTGGGTGTGGCGATCCAAGTGCTCGTAACGATTTTAAGGAAACCAGGCTTAACAGTTTAGTACTAACTAATAGATGTATGAGTTGTACATTTAATTATTTCTTTTTGAATTCCATAGCTATAGCTACGATCTTACACACACCCTACAACACAACATGGCACCTCTACTGAACCCAAACTTTGCAGCTGATAGAAGAAATGGATTATGGGAATCTTGGAGGTGYTGCACATGTGAAAATAACAGCAAGAATTCAGRACTTTTAAAACAACAAAACCAAGAAAAAAACTCAMCTTGTACTGACTCAAATGAATGTTCTCATGAATGTAATGGAAATGTGAAAGATTGTGACAGTGAAGAACTCTCATTTCCAAATGGCGAAGCTCAAGTTGGCAGCAATAGTGAATCMAAGTGTTYAGYCAATAGCAATCTATATATGGAGTCAAAAACTTCTGATGATTYAAATAATAGTTCTCAAAAAGATGGCAATAGTTGCAAAGATGGTAGTAAATGTAATTGCAATTCCTTGCCTGAAATGCAAAAGAAAACAACATCTAATCCATTTAATATWTGTCAAAGTTGCAAGAAGTTCAAAASRAAAGCCAGCAATAGTTCTAGTARGGCATACATGAGTAAAGCATGTTACAAGTTTGTTTGGAACAAGTATTTTTTGAATGGATTCGAAGGAAAGGTGCATTCAGATTGGGTGCTGCATATCGTCAATGGTTTTATYGCRCAAAGCAGTATCCTTTGCAYATTATTTTCAGCAATTGTGTTGTGTTTTCTATCAATGAAGGCAGCCAAATGGCATCCAACATTTTCAATTACCTGAGGGGGATCCAACATTTTCAAATATATATCTAGGGGAAGGGATCCAACATTTTCAAATATCTGGTGGGTGGCATCCAAAATTTTCAAATATCTGGTCAAGGGATCCAGCATTTTCAATTATCTTGAGGGATCCAACATTTTCATTTATCTGGGAGGATACAACATTTTCAAATGTCTGGTGCAGCGACTGTTGTTATGTTTATTCTTAACTATCATTGAGATATCTGTGTTTATGGCAAGCCTGTCTATGTAACTCTAATAGCACGCAGATCAGCAGAGTTTGCAGGAACAAGGTTTCTTAAGAGAGGAGCTAATGATGAGGTATTAATCCTTGTAGTGAAACACTTCCAGTTGTTAAAAAATTGCTCAAATAATAATTATTCATCATCATTTTTGCTTTAAAATTATATCTTTATCAAGCATTCATCTACTACCTCTGCGGCACAGAGGAAGTTGCTATAGTCATCATCATCATCATCATCGTTTGGCTGTTACACAGTCGACTACAAGACGTTTCCAGTTGACCCGGTCTTGGGCAGTTCGTAGAATGTCTGATTCAGTGAAATTGCCAGTTGGATCGATCCATTCCTTGACTTGCTTAGAGTACAACTTCCGTTGACCACCTCGGGGTCTGTTTCCGTGGGGAGGTTCATAAAGTGCATAGGTTTTTCATGGCTCTGAGTCATGCAGACGCAGAATGTGACCAAGGAATTGGAGCTGCTGTAGTAGTTTTGATAGTCATCAAAACATTATTTATTGAACATTTAGTACAGTGCAAATTTGTGATTTTAGGGATATGTYGCTAATGAAGTAGAAACAGAGCAGATAGTCCATGATGCTTCAGTCCTGTCATTTCAAAATGGMCGTTTTACATCATATGTGCAGCTAAGGGGTTCTGTACCAACCTATTGGTCTCAGGTATTCAGAATACATTGAGACTCCATATTCTTAAAGTTATTTTAAAAAAGGTTTTCTTTTTAATATGATATTGTAGGACATGAAACAAGTCATGGTTCCTAAACCACAGATTAATGGTAAGCTTAGAAATCACTTCCTAAAAATGAGTGCAAAAATGCCAAGAATATTATACCAACATTTTTGAAACACTGTTTTGAATAGAACGTTTTTATATCAAATGTAACTTTTTTAATGCGTTGTAGTTGATCGTGCTGATCCCTTCTGCAATGCAGCTTCTAAGCATGTTAATAATCTGTTAGARAGGTTTGGTGCTCCATTGGTTATACTCAATCTTGTTAAAGTAAGTTGAGACATTTTTCAATAAATACTAAAATATGTTTAGATTCTTTTAGGGAATATGAATTGTTATTCACTTCTGAATTATGTATTGTAAAATTTACATCTTTATTTTCTAGAAAAGAGAAAGGAAAAGACATGAACAAATCCTTAGTGAGGAGCTCCAGTCTGTTGTTGAGTACCTTAATCAGTTCTTGCCTGTAGAACACCACATCAAATACATTGGATGGGACATGGCGAGGTCCAGGAAGAGGTGAYCTTTGTTATAGGATGTGATGTAATTACATGTATCTAATGATTTGACTGTCCRGYTTAGTGGTTGGTTGAATAAAAGCATTGATGAATAGTGTAAATTGATGGACACAGATAAATRAATAGATAGATGGATTGATAAATAAATAGATGACAGAATGARTAGATGACAGAATGGATGGGATAAATGAATTGATAAATGAAGGAATTATAATAGATGACAGAATGAACTAAATGACAGAATGAATAGCTGACAAAAAGGATGGGATAAATGAATTCATGATGAATGAAGGATGACAGAATGAATGTAAATGAATTGAAGGATGGATAAATGATTTGGACGATGGATAAATGTCMATATCAAACTAGCTGAGACCATCATTATTATTTTAATAACAATCCAAGAAAAAGAATTATTAATGATATGKTTGTTTTGCAGTAAGGATCTTGCAGTAATTGAAAAACTCACAGCAATTGCAGACCAAGTTTTCAAGACCACAGGATTTTTCCACAACTGTTCTGACCTCTATTGTAACCAGGTCAGGAAAGATCCAAGGTTGGTCTGTTTGCTTCCTAAAGCATGGATTTCACTAGCGCATACGCATAGCATAAACACAAGCATGAGAATCATATGCGCCAGTGAGAACAGGCTCGACATAAGCATAAGACATTGAGCATGCTCACGAGTGTATTATTTCAGTAACAGGCTATGATTATGGCTATGCAGTCCCATTGTCACTGAGCATAAGCATGAGATAAGCATGAGATAAGCACAAGAAGATCAAGCCTTGCTCGTTTTTCTTGTGCTCATGCTTATGCCTATTTTAAGCCCGTTCTCACTGGTGCATATGACTCTTGTGCTTCATGCTTATGCCTATGCTTATGTGCTTAAACTCTTGAAGTATTGGACCCCCCTCTAGACTGAATCTTGGGGGCTTCACTTGTATGTGTATTGGTGTGTCTTGTTGGTACTGTTTTGTGTAACTCAATGAGAGGTTATTTGCTTGTTTTAGATGGGACAACATGGGAGGCTTGCTGTGCAATGGGGACACAAGTAGTGGAAGAGCACAGGTAGTGATAATGCAGAATAATGTTAATAGACGACTTGGGATATTTTGATCTATTGAAAAGAAATGTAGAAAAAGCTCTGGGCAGGGTCCGTACAGGTCCTAAAATCCTTGAAAAGTGCTTGAATTGAAAATTCGTTTTCAATGGCACTTGAAACTCCTTGAAAATGTGAAAATTTGGAAAAATTCCTTGAAAACTCCTTGAAAAAAGATAGACTGTATCACGAAGCGATCGCGATCTCTGAATTATTCCGTTCGGCTGAAGTTTTGAGGTAAAAATGTACAATTAGCATGATTTTGATGCTCCCTGAAAATACAATTTTGGTCCTGGAAAAGTCCTTGAAAAGTCCTTGAAACATTATCCACATGGTTTTCTCAGAGCCTAATCTTTTTTACGTGGTTACTCAACCAAAATATCGACAATTTAGTGGTTATCATCAATTTATATTTTATWTTAACTTTAAAGAACTTGTCTGTAACACATTTTGTGTTTGGACTGTATGTTTGGTTCAGTTAAGAACATTTGATAAAATTCACTCTAAAATGTCAATAATTTCATGTGTGGTTAACCTGCCTGTGTGTGGTTGACCTGCCTGTGGTAAAATAGCTTATAATTTCCACTTACTAGAAGTTCCTAGTGCATTGATCGAATCTTGTAATAATTTCTGAATAGAATGGTGTACTACGAGTGAACTGTGTTGACTGTCTGGACAGGACCAATACAGCCCAGTTTATGGTTGGAAAGTGTGCCTTGGGTTTCCAGGTAAAAGGATAATTTCTCATCATGCATACATACCACCAAAATGGTCACTGATAGTAAGAGCAGTTGCCACATCAAGTAGCATACCAGCAGCAAATAATAATAATTGTGATAAAATTTCCAAGTCTGTTATATGGCTAATTTGGCATTCATTTGCATATTTTTCAATAAAAAAAAAATGAATAAAAAAATGAGTAAAAGTAAATAATTCATTTTGCTCTCCTTCAATGTCTATTTATTAGCTCTATTCCTTGGGAGTGATTGACAGTCCATCAATGGAGTTTGATTCTGATGCTGTCAGGTAACGAACAACACTTGCCTCATTTCTCAACGTAAGAAAATTGTGCAAAGGCTCTTGGATCCACATGGACCTTCAACAGATTACAATCAATTCACTGCAACAAACATTATTTATCTATTTATGTCAATAATCTAATAATGATTTAGTATACATGCATCAGGAGTTTCGGAGAACAATGCGTCCGCCATCTTGAAAAGTGGGACTCGAATCACTAAATTATAACTCCTAAAGAAATTAAAAGGTTCTAAGCTAATGTCAAGTTAATATAACATACGATATAATCATGATAGATTAGTTGACTGAGCAACTACGAAAAGGCAAACAGTGATTTGGGGCTCACTTTTCATGATGGCGGACACATTGTTCTCTGAAATTCCTAATGCATGTATATTATCATAGGATCCTTGAAGATCTCTATGAAGCACATGGAGACACATTAGCTTTACAGTATGGTGGYTCACAACTTGTGCATGGGTATGTAGTAAGAAAGAGTCATAGAAGTCATAGGATTTCTCTGCCTTTGGGGTTGTGCAACTAATATGTGTCCGGCTATTTTTTTCATTTCGTCTTTCAGGATTCGAACCTATCGCAAGGTCTCTCCATTAACATCACATACGCATGACATCATGCAGACTATATCCCGTTACTATAGCAATGCCTTTAATGGTGAGTCCAATAGAGCATTTTAAAAGATGGCAGACTGTCARTCTACACAATGTGTCAYTGACGCCAAAGAAAGCTTTAACTTTGTGTTGCTATATTTGRCAGAACAATTCAATTTAATTTATTATWWWTWMTWWMWATAWWWWT